TCAGCAGGATAAGACTTTCTCTTAGGCTAAGTGTTAAGATCTAATCTTAAAATATCCAACATAACTGGTCCTAAAAGTTCTCATTAGTGAATATGGCCAGTTATCTGAGCCATTTTTAACAGAGTGCAGTGCCCGTTTGTTGAATGTCATGCCCAAAATGACAGAAGTGTTCATTGTTTATCATATAGCAACAGAGCAACTTATTTCCTAAAATGAAGTAATTATGATACAACTGCTTCTAACAGAGCAGTGGTTTAGGAATATTGTTTTTTCTCCCTGCAACTCAAAACCTCCACTCTTATCACACTCTGTTTGAAAAATACCTGGCAGCGTTTTTCATCCTCAGCCCGACCCCAGGACCCATGCCATATTTGCTCATATGGATTCCCTTGGAGAATATGAGCTTCTACCCATTTTACATGTATTACATAACTGTGTTGCCCACTCAAACCCTCAACCTACACTGATGCAGGGACATAATATAATAACATATTCAGAAAATTCATCATATTTCCTCATTGTCTTCCAGGATCTTAGCTCTTGTTCAGTAAATGTGATTCTTAGAATTTCTGTGTGTAAAGAAGCTTTGCTGAGGGCTTAACTTGTGGGTTCATCTGGGGGGTTTGCATGACTGATCAAAATGTCTTTGTGCAGAGCTCATCACAGACTACAACCCAGCATGCTAGTGATCTTTTCTTCCTTCACGCAGTGTGGCGTGCTAGTATCAGACTTTTTCTGGCTTTCACCCTTATAAACAGAATTTATTAGATCCTATCAAACTTTTTGTTGAGAACTAAGGTACATGCTGTGCACTGGTTACTTCACTGCATTAATCTGAATGTCTGTCCTGAGATTTTTTTCCGTATTCACAATTCTGTGTGTTTCTTCCTGTAGAAAAGAAATCTTTAGAGATAGTCAGTATGTATAATTGAACCTTGGAGTTTAATTATATGAGTTTAGTATTTCTTTCTCTCTGATACACCATATTTTGTCATGCAGAAGTATGTAATTGGCAAAACATTTCAATATAGAATTTGGAAATGAAAATCAGTGTAATTCTTTATTATATGTATAATAAAGCATTTGCTTAAGTTCATATGATTCTTCAGGTCAAATTCTGACCACAGATGTGGTCCTGTATTCTGACACCTATCAGGAGATTCTCTGTGGGAATATGGAACTTTGATACTAACCTCAGAGATCAGATTTCAGGACTTTTACATGGAAATCTGCTGAAGTCTCTGGGAATTCACCTACACAAGAGGTTAGGGGTTCCACTGTGGAACAAATACATGTAAAATGTAAGTCAGTGCAGCTCCACTGACTTGTAAAATCTGTACTGATGTATAGTAGGTAAAAATCTAACACCATATGCCTGCATCACATAGTAATACATCATAAAAGTAAATATTTTCCACTTTGTTCCATTTATATTCATTAGCAGTGATCTTTTTAATACCTCATTTTTAACATTTTGCTTTCCTAGAGAAGTCTCTGATAGATTTTTACTATTAAATGTAATAGCAATTTCAAGTGAAGTTAGTAATATGATTTGGATTTCAATATTTTCTGAAAATAATCATACCTGAAAAAAAGGTAGAAAAGTACTCCCATTTTAAGTCACTCAAGCTCAAGACTGAGTTCAGAATTTGAATATCAGGTACGGTTTGCTCCTAGGAGCCTCTGTTAGCTGGTGCGGTGAAACCCATGGGGTCTGTTGGTTAAAAGCCTCATGCAGAACTCCGTATTACATATACAAATGAGCATGTGCCTTCCCTACTTTACAAGTACACTTTTTGCACTCCACTAATGGAGTTTTTAAACTTCTACTAAGGAGGAAATTTATTACTATAGTTGGTAACATCTATTCTGGTTCTGTAGGAGCCTTGCAGTACTCAATGCAAAAAAGAAAGCGAAGAATGAAAATAGAAGAGAAACAGAGACTTATTGATTACTTCTATCTTAGTCTTAAACCTAACCCAAAGACAGAGTCTTTGTCTTAAAAATAGATAATTCCCATTATTTGCTTGTAATGTACTAGTGTATACATTACATCTATGTACTTCTAAAGTTATTTCTAAATATCATTCGAAAGAAGTGCCGTTGAGTTACAGAATACTGTATACAGACATTGCCCCTGGTCAGAGAAGATAAAATCTAGTTGTTCAGAGACTTTCCAGTTGAATCAATCTCTATTCATAGCTAAGAATTTGAATTCACTCTCTTGGCAACAAACTCTGACATAATCTTACAACCCAGACACAGGATATGTATATGGCACTGACATACATTCCATTTCTTGTGGGAATTGTACTTATGGAAACACAACCTCATAGGAAATGCATTACATTGCAGAATATTCTTTATAGCATCAGGTAACATTCTGAAATCTTTTTTCTTTTTCAGCTATGTAGGGTATTTAGTGCCCTTGCCCCAGTGTTTGACCGCTACAGTCCAATCTGTTAAGAGTAGTATTTCAGTGATGAAGAGGAAAGAACCACCCTGATCTCCCTACACTCTCAGCTTTTCCTCTTTTCTCGTGGTAATTGTTCCATGTACTAACTGCTCTTCCTCTCTCTGTGGCAGCCTGGAACATTTGGCTTACAGTCTTCAAGGGGATGTGTGCCCTGCAACTGCAACTCCTTTGGTTCCAAGTCCTTCGACTGCGAGGGAGATGGACAGTGCTATTGCCAGCCCGGAGTGACGGGAAAGAAGTGTGACCGCTGTGCTCATGGATTTTACAACTTTGAAGAAGGAGGCTGTACTCGTATGTAAATTCTTTGCAGCCAATTGCAGATCGATTGATTTGTTTGTTTGTTTGTTTATTACTAAGATTCTAGTTTGACTAGTTTTGGATTGCTTGACAAATTTTCGTGACAGGTAGGTATTTTCATAGGCAGCCTTGTAAACAGGTCAGTGGGCAAGAACAAAAGGCCTAAGCAATTCCTGGTATTTTAAGGTCAGTTTATGGCTAATCTACCACGATTAGAAGGAAAAGGAATGTCCTTTCCTTCAAGTACTTTTTGCCAAAGAAGTTTCTATGAAGTTTCTATAATTTAGTTACCATAAGAGTATCATAGAAGACTGATTAAGGTGCTTGCCAAATCACATCAACTTGAAGGGATGTGAATGGGAAAAAAAGAAAAAAAAAATTTCTTTGCTTCTAGTTTTGTCCCGAACCTTTTCACTGTCCTTACATGGTTGATCCTTTTTTATTAAATTTCTATACAGTAGTATTTAGGATCTTGCTTACTTGTATGCTTTTTTTGTACAACAAGATCTTCAGATAAAATTCTCTGCTGTGTCCCTTGTGTAAACACATTAAAAGTGTGTTGTTCCAGATGCTGAAAGTCTGGCATAGACAGAAATATATCCAGCTGCTTCTTTACATTTATGTTTGCCCTTTTGGACATTAGGTCAAACACCGAAATGAGTGCTTCCTGTCCTTAAAGCAGTACAGACTGCTGCATCAAAAAGAACCTAATCAATAGGTCTCTTCACAGGGAACCATCCATCTTTGCTAATCGAACTGTATTTTTAAAGTCTCATAGACTCATTTAGGTGTGATCACAGGAGACTTACATAGTTGTCTAGCATGGCTGGCTGCTGGGATGCCAGAATGACGATGGCTCCACAACTTTCTTAGCTGATGGCAGAGTGCTATAAAGCCAAGGATATTGCTGCTATTATTCTTCAGGTATAAACTGTATTCTTTCCAGAAGCAGAAATCACCATGCCCGGTATCCTATTCTTCTTTTCCCATCTGGAATGGCTGCAGAAGCAACAAACCTAGCTCTCTGCCTTTTTTTACTCCCTTTTTTTAATGGAAAGAGCATCAAGGCCTTGAGACCCACACCTGTGCAGCAAAATTCAATTTCACCTGTAGTGTTGATAAACCTTGAGCCAGGCTGGGTTATAGATCATATTTGAAAACATTCGTCCATGGTATTGTCTCTCATGGGAAGGAAGGGCTCAGAAAATGTTTACTGCCTTGAAAACTGCAAGCACCTTTGAAAGAGGAAAGATTGGTTCACAGGCTCATTGATGAGAGAACTTGAAATGCAAATGATAACTGTAGTCCTAAAGCCCTCAGCACATATATGGAGGGAAGAAAATATTATAGTTTATCTTCGTGATTATCTCTTGTTCTAACATTTCATAGTTTAAAAGCACATCACTATTGTGACATACTACAAAATGTTAATTTCATACAGTTGGGGAAGGAAAATGAGAGGGCAATTAATAAGATTTCACATTAAAATTTTAACTGCTGTCTTGGCAAACTTGACATGACAGAGTTTAAAGAAAGTGATGAAATGGGAAAATAGTGTAAATCCAAACAATATTTTAAATAGAAATATATCTACCTATAGATACCTATCGGTCATCAAATATTTTAAATAACGACAACAGCTAAAGATGTTCAGAAAATTCAAATTTTTAAAAGTTCCAAAGTTAATACAACAGATGGAGAGGAATTCTGTTTTCAAAATGCTGGTTTTCCCCCACTTATTCCCCTTGGAATGACCAAAAAAAAAAAAAAGAATTAAATTATGAATCACAGAGAAAATCAGAAATTTAATAAAAGTATATCAAATCATGGTAGGAAGAAAGTGCACAAAAATGAATTCCATAGTGACAGTTAAGTATCGAATAAAATATTGGACCTCTTTTATCTAGCATTTATCCAAAAGGAATATAATTTGATTTTTTTTCTTGTGCAATAAAAAACCATAAAGCCTAAAAAAGAACCCCTAAAGCATCATCAGTTAGTGTTGACATTCTAGCAGCAAAGATACGAAAGAGATTTCTGTTTCATTATTGCTTGCAACAAATGTGTTGTATTTTTCCATATTCTTCTTAATAATGATAAAAGTAAAGATGCAAAAAATATTGGTGTATCATTTTCTTCCCCTCCATGCCTTTTGAACCAATTTTGTGTAAGAACTGGGAGCCCATAGAAGAGCTGTCGCATCTGGAAGCCTCAGTCTCCCAATGACAGATATATTCTGAAACTTCTTCAAGCCATAGTGTGTCAAAAGATTTTATGTAGCATGCAAAAGTTCTTGTTCCTGGCATAGTGGAGGCAAAACTTTCTATCTTCTTTGCATCAGTTACCTTATTTTGAAAGCATTGATAGGGAAAAATAAAGGTCACTTTTTATTTGAACTACAGATAGGAGTTCTATCTTTGCACAACTCTTATTTTCTAGTTTTATTCTGAATTGAACTATTTCATACAATGAAGACAATGAACATAAATCCAGCCCTCAGTAATGAACATTATATTACACTGCCCTGTAAAAACCCCAAGGAACAGTTTATCACTCAGAGAGTCATAGTTTGCTTATGATGCTTTTGCTCTGACCTCAGGGGTGATGGTAATGATGGGTGTGAAAATAACCATGCACCAGTTCTGCTCCTACAAGTAATTAGGTGTCTTGTGCCCCATAACTACTTATCACTTACATACCTTGAATCTGCATTTGCCACCAGTGAATTGTTCACTTAATAATGCTTTAAGAGCAAAGACCATATTTAGAACTACTTCCAAAACCAAAGTATTTTTAGTTGAATAAAATCTGCAAAGAATCCTAGTTTCCTGTGAAGAGGCACATTGTTGATGTCTTCCCAAGGCAGAATATGTGTAATCTGAAAAAAAAAAGAGGAGTAGAATGGGAAAAAGAAACTGAAACACCTTTTTTTGCCTTTTAAGAAAAGTCTGTTTACAGCAGCAGCAATTTCAGGAGGTTGGCTCAGACTGGTGGAAGAGGTTAAATACAGTGCAGGTTCCCCAGGTAGAGGGCTCAGAGGCAGCCAGGGGGCTTCTTGCACGAGGCCGCGTGGACCCAGAAATTATACAGCAATACTCCCACAGCCGTGTCCCCTGAGTGCACCATCTCGGACATCTCCGCGCTTCGGCAGTCGGGGCCTTTATTTTTCGCATCCTGTTCTCATTGCAGTTACTTCAACCTCAGTTAACCTGTGTTGCATTGCCCCTGGTTTTGGTTTCTCTAGCCCCAGTCTGTCCACAGATAACTGTTTTGAGAGTTCACTGCATGGTAAAGGCTTTGATGGAATGATCCTAACCATGGTAGGGTCTACTCTCCAGGTGTCACTAAAGGGGTAACTTTTTTCCTCTGCTTTATTTTTTTCTGTCTCCCATGAAGCCTGTGAGTGTTCACGTTTTGGTAATAACTGCGATCCCATCAGTGGCCGCTGTATCTGCCCTCCCAATACTGTTGGAGAGATGTGTGACAAATGTGCACCAAATTACTGGGGCCATGACATTGTCAGTGGCTGCAAGGTGAGTGAATCTCTATTTTTTTCTGTGTGTGTTAACCTCTTTCCCATGGGGTAAATGCAGTAATTTGTAGCTGGAACACAATTTTAGGTTTGTAAATCATGGTTTGTCTCTGCATTGCGAGTTTTGGTGTCAGACTGTGGTGTAAATGTCGGTGATCCGTTACTGAACACTACAGATCCTCTGTCTCGGGTATGCAGCCTGTAACACCAAACACCCTGTTTATACGGCTGTCACACTGAGTCGATGTTCTGCTTGAGCCTGGTTTCTTTTATTATAGCTGTGTTTAACATGATTGAGGAGATTACCACAGTATTGTACAATATATATAGATGTATAGTTACAGGTAATTGACAGTCCCTTTGCAGAACAGATTTACTTTGGCTCTAATTGTGATACTACTGGGAATTTGTACTTCAGGTTTACTTGAGAAGGGCTTCAACTTGTGCATTAAAGACAGTGAAGAGAGAAGAAACAGCCACCGTAGCTGTAAAATGCACTTTCTTCCTATGTTCTGAAGGAGGAAAAAAACTTTCTCATTAACTTTTAAATCCTTCTTTTTGCAATGTTTGACACAGAGTTAAAAAAATCTGAAGGGAAGGGAAGAAGGGAGAAGATATAGGAAAACAATGATAGTATGTCAAAGAGGCCGTGAAAGCTGTTGTTAATGTTTTACCCTTGAGTTAAGGGGAGCAGTATTTGGCTAAGGTTGAAAACTGGTGACAGTGAATATTGTGCAAAGTTCAAATGCCTTCTCCTTTCTGCTGCTCTCATTGATGATAAGGGATTTATAATACTGCTGCAATTACTCCAAAAAACTGTGTCTTGTCTGAACATGGTCATACACCATTAATGCTCTCTCTTAAAAGACTGTCATGTAGCTCAGGCTGCAAACTAATTATCGAGAATGATTTCTTTTTTGTATGTATGGAAAACTCCTCTTGTGAAACCTCTGCTGTGCTGCTGTAATACAGACTCTTGGCTTCTGAAACCAGCCTAATGAGGTTGAAGACCTCTGTTTGAGCTCTGGAGTATATTCTCTGATTGTCTTTTATGTGAGCGCATTAGTATGACAGTTCGATGGCACCGTCTAAATTAATAATGATCTATCAGCCCACATCTCTTTCAGTATGTTGCAGCTAATTTCTGCAAAGTGAGATGTGAATCTCCTGCTTGCACTCTTTGTAGAAGATTTCCAGGGCTGTCGTAACTCAGGGGGATAGAGAGCATTGCATAAAACTGCTTGCTCGCAAAACAAACATAACATCTCATTGTAATTTAGGTTTTGATATTGCACACTAGGTTTTGATATTATACTATTTCAGTGTATAGTGAACAATTTGCTTTCTAAGCTTTATGTTCAAATGTATCTTGTAGAATAAGGTTCTCTCTGTCAGAAGGTTTTATTTCTTAGGTTAGATGATAGTCTAGCAGTCTAACATTTAACAAGTAGTTAAATAGTTTCTCTGGCATTCGGTAAAGACTGAAGTTGAATGTTGCCTATATATAATCACCTTCTTTATAAATGGTATTTTCAGATCAGAAGAAAGGTTCCGTAAGTATTCATGTAATAAACAGTTTTGCTTAGAAACTGAATTCACATTTTCCTCCTCTCTTTTTCAGCTTTGTGTCCTTAATTTTAGCAAGTCTATCCATGTCAGTTACTGTGGTAACCTGTACTACTGGCACTGAGTTTGCTTCTGCAAGCTGAACTTCTCCATATGAGATTCTGGTCACGCCAGTGATCACAGTAAATGTCCTGTGCTAACTTTGCAGTACAGTCACATTAATAGCACTGAGGGATTCTTCTGTTCTTTGGAAGCCTGCAGCTTTCTCTGCTACTTACTTCTGTATTCAATATCTAGACATCCTGGCAAATCACCTATTTCTGTCCTTTCCTGCCTGCGGAAGTCTCATTCTGTGAGCAAGTTTACTTCCCAGTACACCTCTTGACTAAATCTCTATCCCTTACCGTATAAATTACTGTCATCTAAGAGTCCTGTTTGTACAAAGAAGATAGTTACCTGTCTGATGGACAAGTAATAGACGTTGAACTAGATTCCACTGGGACCACTGCCCCTGAACAGTTCCAGTTTTAGCAAAGTGGTCTGAACACGCCCTGCAGAGGATTTACATAGAAAGCACTTTTTAGAGAGCATTTACAGTTTTTAAGTTAATTTTGTCCACAAAGTATCCCAGTGTCCTTGACCCTTTTAGATTTATTTGATTTCACTGCCTAACTTATCAGTGATAAGTAATATCTGTTCAAAAAGAAAACAGTGTTGTAAATTAATTGGTGTAATTGCGTGACCATTGTTGAATAAAGATAAATACCTAGCCTTATAATTCAGATACATTACCTTCAGACAGTGGAAATTCATTGCTGTACTGTATTTACAGATATTTGAAAGAGGTGAGTTGCTTTTTTGTTGGGTGGGGTTTTTTTGGTTTTGAGTTGTTGTGTTTGGTTTTTTTTCAGAAGTACAATTGCAATTTTTTCCTTGTTTCTCTCCTTTTTAGCCCTGTGACTGCAGCCTTGTTGGAGCCCTAAGTTCTCAGTGTGACCTAAATACAGGCTGTTGCTTCTGCCGCCCTGAATTCTCGGGGGATAAATGCACTGAGTGCAGGTTGGGTTACTGGAATTATCCACAATGTGTTGCTTGTCAGTGCTTCCTGGCAGGGACTGATCCACAGAGCTGTGATACAGAGCTGGAGAAGTGCTCATGCATTGATCACACTGGCCAGTGCAGCTGCAAGGTAGGACGATGAAGATTGTAAGCTAACCTTGTAGCTGTTGAGAATTTTATTCCAAAATTCATTGACATTTGTACTTGCCTGTTCCAACAATACATGCAGACAAATCTCGTTGGTTTTCACAGTGCATGTGCTAGCTGCTGTGGGAGGAGTCTTAACATAAAGAAAGACTTAAGTGCTTATCAGTTGCTTTTTCACACACACATTTGCCAGCATAGCGTCCTCGTAGGCTCTCTTCTCACTTTGTATTTCTTCCCTGTTCTTACAGAAGTGTTGCCAATGTAACTCCACTTAATAAAATTCTTGTTCAGATATTTGGCAAATTAAAAGCAAACACATCAGTAATAACGATATGCCATAGTGGCAGTTCTTTATAGTACATTGATTTAGAGGGAGTCAATATTGATCATTTTATGAGTAGAATTCTCTGCAGTAGTATGTGTTCTTCTGAGCAGGCTGCATCCAATTCAGGATCACTAAAGCAAAGACTTTTGGCATCATCATCCACAGCATTCTTATTTGGAATTGTTCTTAGGAGAACAGCACAGTTAGGTGGTTTGAAATTTGGCTGGATTGCTGAGCTTCAAGGGCAATAATCGGTGGTTTGACAGGCAGTTGGTAACCAGCAAGCAGAGCACCCCAGAGCCAATACCTTCATCAGTGACACAGATGACAGAATTCATGATCAGAAGATTGGAGAATATTGCTGATTTGGAGGGGGTAGAGGTTGACATGCTGAACAATAAAACCACAATCTAGAGGATCCTTGAAAAGCTTGATGGTTGGAAAAATAGAAAGGTCATGAATTGGAGTGGAATAACCTCTAGAATCAGTAGTTTGGGAGGAAAAAGGGTGAGTGGTAATCCTGCTGAAAAGCACATACAGGCTTTGGGGAATGGCAAACTGAGTATAAGCCAACCATGTACTCTCACTGTAAATAAGGCAAACTGCCTACTGAGCTGGATGCATTCATCATACTGGCCAATGCAGCTGCAAGGTAGGACATCATGAAGAGCATGACCTGCGAAGGAAAGTCTTTATCCCTCTCTACTCTGTGCTGGTAAGACTGCACTTGGAAATGGTGTCCAGTTTTAGGACCCGATTCAAGAGTGTTGTTGAGCAATTAGAGAGGATCTAGAGAAGGGCTACAAAGGGACTTAGAGCAGATGATCTGTAAGGATATACTTACTGAGAGCTGGACTCCTAGTCTGCAAAAAATAGAAGCTAAGAGAAAGGCAATTGCAGCTTATAGCCACTTCAAAGAGTAGTTGATGGAGTCGGGTTCTTTCTGATAGAAGCAAAAGATGTGACAAGGGACAATAGCTGCAAATGGCATCTTGGGAATTTTAGATTGGAAAGAAAAAATCACTAGGAGGGTTATGCAGCACTGGAACAGATTATCCAGAAAGATTGCGAAATCCCCGTTCTTGGAGGCTTTCAAGAATTGACTATAAAGAGGCGTGAGTAACCTGATCTAGTATTGGTGATAGTCCCACTTCAAAGAGGAGGTTTTTAAAAGTGATCTCTAGAGGTTCCTTCTGTGATTTTGGTTCATTCTTCTTCTTTAGGGACTGTATTGACATAAAGATCTAGTGAAATAGAAGGATGAATTTAAATGATTTAACTGCCAGGTGATTCTTTTGTTAAATGGGCACCAGTTTCCTCACTCTGAGTTTAAAGGATAGACTCAGTGGAGGAACTATAGAATAAATTAGATTGGAAGGGACCTATGGAGGTCATTTAGTCCAGTGCCTTGTTTGAAAGACATTGCTGAAGCAGTACTTCCAAGGACGGGGATTTCACAACCTCCTTGTCCGAACTGCTTGACCACCCTCCTGTTTTTCTGGTATATTTGAACAGAAAACATCGTGTTCTGTTTCACAAATACTGATTCATTTGATGGTGAGACCATAAGAAAACTGAAGTAAGTGAGAGGAGCACATGGACCATCTGAGTAAAACTGGGCGTTATTTGTTCTATGTCATCCTCTGAAATGGAGAAATAAAAGTATTTCAATTCTTTCAGCCTCTCCTAATACATGATGTGCTCCAACCCCACTAACCGTCTTGGTGCCCCTTTTCTGGATTAGGTCCAGTATGTCAATGTCTTTCTTGTAGATCTTAGTGTATGCACTAAGTAGAAAGAATGGGGGTTTATGGCATTTTTAAATAGAAACGTTTCTTTGATTGTTTTAAGGTTAATATAGTTACTTCTATGTTTCTGTGAGTGCAAATTAACAGTACATATTTCACTGATGATTAATGATAAGAAACTGCAATTGACATGAAACAAAAAGCAAAGCAAGTAAAATTCACAATTTGTGATGGAAAATGGACAAATAATACTGAATTAAGTCAGCAGATTTTTTTTCCCCAGAATTTGAATCTAAGGTTGAATTTAAATCTAGGGTTGGTTAACCTTTTGTATAACTTTTTTGAAAGAGTTATATGTTGAAGGAACCAGATTTTTATAAAATGATAATCATTGCCGTTTAAACCTGCTATTGTAGCTGGAGAAATGAGCTTTCAAAGGCTCAGGAGCCCCTTAGTCAACCCTGTCAAAAAGCAGCAAAATCTAAGCTAAATACAGTGTAGGCACATTTGCTGATAGAGATACATGTGGAAACAAGGGTTAAAAATGGTAAATCCTTGGGGATAATGTTGGTTTCCTGTATAAGCTTAGAAAAATTGAATTTGTTTTTTAGATTGGCTTTTTCACATTACGCTCAAGAGGAAATAAAGAGGGGGAGGAAAAGCCAACTGGTGCTTTCATATTGGTGATTTTTTTGAAATACCTTGGTCTCAGTGTGAAAATGGTTTTAAAAGGCTATGCATAAATCATTGTGTATCTGGCCCTATCTGGTATAGCTTTTTATTTGGACTAATTGAAAAATGAAAATAAAAGCGTTGACATTACAACAGTGAAACATTTCAGCCTTGTTAATACTGTTCAATGATGTGGAAAACAATCATGAAGAGGGGAAAGCTTTTCTCTACAATATTTCCATTAAAATATGTTTCTCAGCAAGAACATTTAGTACTTAAACTTTCTAACTTGTCAAAGCTAATTCCTATTAAACAAAAGGTTTGATTAACCCTGGCAATTTCAGAAGGACATATTTTTTCTTATCAGTCAGTTATTGAGCATGCCATGCCCAAAGTGCCATTTGATTTTTCTGTGCTTACAACTGTCAGTATGAAGCCAGCATCCATTGCTCAGAGCTACTCAGTGGATACAAATGCAAATGCCTCAATTACATTAATTGTATATGTTTGCATACACATGTGATAAGAAGCTGGAAGGTTCCTTGACTATTTCCTTACAGTTATTATTTCTTTCTGCACCCTGTTATTATCATTACTATATGATTTTCTTTTTCTTATTACTACCTTGAAATAAAGCTTGCCTTCTCTCTCTTTTTTTTTTTTTTTTTTTAAAATGTTCTCTCTCTTCCAGGCCAATGTGGAAGGTGTCCACTGTGACAGGTGTAAGTCTGGTACATTTGCTCTCTCTGCCAGAAACCCACTTGGCTGCAGCAGTTGCTATTGCTTTGGCCTCACTACACAGTGCAGTGAGGCGAGGGGGCTGATTCGCGTGTGGGTGAGTAGGAAACTGCTGAGCCATGTAATGCGATAATGTTGTTTCCTGCTGGCATCTTTTAGTCAGGCACTGAGAGGTAGCTAGAAAATGGCCAAACATTTAAGCAATCATTTTCCTCTTTATACTTTGAGAAGTGGAGAGAGCGATATCTTCCATTAGACAATCAGGGTCAAGGCATTAAAAGTGAATAAGTAGATAGAAACCCAGTGATAGGATAGCTGATGTCAAGCCAAATTAAAGCTGTTAAAACCCAGGAAAGGGCAAACTAGTTGTGATGGGGAAGTTACGCAGTCCAGTGCATTGTAACATACTCTCTGGTACATGACACACAGTTTACCCCAGTGTACTCAAGGGTCACAGATGCTTGTTGTCCAGCATAGATTTCCCATGGTTCAATTATCGAGTTTATTTTAATTGTTGGGATTTTTTTTTAATTTAAAAAAAAGAGCTTATTGAAGCTCTGTTTAAATCCAAGCATGGGAGGGTGTCATCCATCAGAGCAAGTAAAGAGCTCTCCACCTTTTTGTGGAAGAGAGCCTTGAGACCTGTGCTGGACTAACAAATAAGGCAGACTGGATGTCTCCATTTATCTGTACAACAAGCACAAAACACACATTGAGACCACTGCTGTCCATCGCTGCTGTGCCAGCTCCTCAGTTACATTCTGGAGGAGCTGTTTCTAATCAGTCCCCATGTATGGTCAGTCATATCTCTGCTAGAAAGCATGCCAACTACAGAGGGAATGGCTGCCTAATGCCAGTCAGCCAAAGCCCCTGACTTGTCATGCACAAGCATCAATTGGATAAGGATACTTTAGGCTGAAATCAAGGTGTGATCTCTTACTGAAGAGTTCATATCTCTTGGTTAGAGTGCTATGAATAGCACCCATTCTCCCCTTCATTGTTCAATCCAATAGCACCTCCGTCCCTTCCCAGTGAATGATGTGATTTATCATGATCTGACCCAGTTTTTCTCATTATTTCAGTTTTGCCCATCATATGCTGGTAGGCGGCAGATGAAAGGCTGTAAAAGGCTGACAAGTTATAAAATTTAATCAAGTTCCATGACACCAACAGTTCTGGAAAATTGTGCTTTGACCTTTGTGGCAGCACACAGCAGAGACATAGTTTAAACCTCGTGATTATTTTGTCTCTTGATTAATTTTCTTTCGTATTTATGCTCATATCTAAACAAGTGTATGCCCACGTCTCATCTGGTTTTTGGTACCCTGATCTATTTCAGAATTGATTCAGAGTTGTAAACTTAGTGAGACTGGGTTCTGCCAACTGCTGGTGGCTATGTCAGATAGTCTCAGGTGCTTCAAATGGCATTAGATATGTTTAAACAAGAAAATCCTGTCTTGTATGACAGTAAGGCAAGGCTGATCCGAAATTCAAATGTGTTGACCACTTTTTTGATGTCTAAACTAGTAAACAGTAAAATACAGTTACGATAGGAACTCGGGAAATCTCACTTAGGGCTGGCAATGTTAGGAATGCTTCCATGTCTGATCAGTCCATAGATGCTGCTGCAAATGGAAGTACCAAGATGCTTAAAGTACAGTACAGGGCTTGGTTGATTCCTCATTACCTGAATCCCTATCTTGTGAACAACCTGTTGATGGGATGACTGTTAGAGATATGACTCTGCATTTCTTTTCTTTGTTTCCCTCACTCTTTGGGAGAAAGCAATTTTGATACCAGCCCTTTGCATTTGTTCACACACTTCCTGTGATAACTTTCATCTGCACAGAATTACTAAGACTCTTATTACAGTTTTTAATCAAAATAATGATTTCTATATAATGCTGCTGAGACTTTTTCAACAAGTCTAAGAAAATTACAAGTATCTAAGTGGCATCCTTATATTTTTCATTAAATCTGAATTTAGAGTTACAGAAAGCCTGAGCCCTCACTCTCTGCATATTGCCTGGAGAACACTTAGCTTGAATATTGTGTAAAAGTACCAAGGGATGAGGCACTGTGTTTCACAGCCCCAGTGATGCATAATAAGTGTTGGTGAGAAGTATGCTTCTTCGTAAGGTACATTTCTCACAATCTGAACAGAAGAGGCCTGAGACTGAAATAACACTATGAAAATCACTTCAGTAAAATTCATGGGATCACTTGCTGCTGCAACTGTTTTAACCAGTGCTAATACGTTCTTTGTTCACATGAGGACAAGGTGAAAAAGGCTTGAGGGGGATGTCGTTGTTATCACTGTTTATACCTGAAGCAGTAGTAAGACTGTTTTGTGATAAATTGCTCGTGATGTGAAATGAAATTGCCTAGAAATATTTTTTTTAAGAGTTAGAATTTAAACAGTAAAATTTCAAGGGGAAAAATAGACTTGATTTTTGTCTCAATTTTTTTGAATATGCATAGGTGACCTTGAAGCCAGAGCAAATGATTCTGCCACTGGTGGATGAAAACCTTCAGCGCAGCACACTTTCAGGGGTTGCATTCCAGCCTCCTGAAATAGTAGCAAATATAGAACAGGTGATGCAGGATCTTCGGTCAGAACCTGTTTACTGGAGACTTCCAGAGCAGTTTGAGGGACAAAAGGTAAACATAATATTCCACTAAATACTGACATGGATTTATATATATATATTTTTTTTTTTTAATCTTCTATTTGTATTTTGCAATGCCTTTTTTCCCTTCCAATAAGCATATTGTCACACAGTGAAAGGTACTTCAAAACAAATTAAATGCCATTCCACTATTAAAAATTATTTGCTCTGTTATCATGGAAATTCATAAGTCTGTAACATAAACACCATTTTAAAATAGATATTTACAGACTACAACATGTAATATTTTTCCACAGGATAGATTCTCTCATAAAAATGTTATTTGAAAAATTAAGCTGCATTAATTTAATATAACTCTCTTGTAACTTTTTGTTTCTCTCCATTTTAAACAAAAATGCCTCATATTTTTAATTACAAGGGAGAAAAACATTGAAATAACCCTCCTTTTGGATATTGTTGTGCGCCTCTGTGATGATTTATTTTGCACTTTTGATATTTCTTGGTTTGGCTCAGGAAAGTTTAGGTGTTTCTTTCTCTAAACACAAACTTTGGGGAGTGCCAAGGCACATATAAAGAAATAGATAACATTTTGTTTTTAATGTAGTACAATAACAAATTGCTGATGAGTATTTTTGAACACAGCCCTTGTCCCCAGATAATTCCACAAGCGTGAATTACTATTTTCTACCACATGCACATTCATCAGACTGTGCACAGGTGCGGTGTATCTAGCCCTTACATATGACCAGGAATTTATTTTTAGCTAACTGAAAATGGGATTTCTTTTTGTACTTTGTGTTTTTCATTGTTAGCTGACTGCTTATGGAGGGAAACTGAAATATGCAATCTACTTTGAAGCACGAGAAGAGACAGGTTTTACTACTTACTACCCGCAAGTCATCATAAGAGGTGGGCCTCCCACCCATACACGAATTATTGTCCGGCATATGGCTGCCCCTCTGATTGGGCAGCTGACAAGGCATGAGATAGACATGACAGAGGTAACGTTTCCATCTGCTTTTTTTTTTTTTTCCCAAAAGTTAAGCACCTGGTTCTTTTTAATACTGTTAATAAACTGGGTTTGTATTACTGTCTTTCAGCATGAATGGGAATATTACAGTGATGACCAAAGAGTCAGAAACACTGTGCGCTGGGAATATTATCATGATGACCCAGGTTTCAACAGGACAGTGTCCCAGCCAGATTTCACCTGGAAACATTATGGAGATGACTCAAGATCAAGTAGAGTTGTATCCCGGGAAGACTTCCTGAATGTGTTGTATGATGTTCATTACATTCTTATTAAGGCTACTCATGGCAATATCATGAGACAGAGCAGGTAACTATTTCATGCAATGGTCTGAAATAGTGCAGTAGATAGAGAGAACCTGATAGAGCTCCCCACATTTCCCAGCAGAATTTTTATTCATAACATCAGCTATAAGCAGTTGCTGAGAACAGAAGGAGTTAGTGTTCAGCATAGCAGGAGATTCAGGAGAGGGAAATTTTATTGAATAGAAAATTTAAATAACAATAGGCAAATAAAATCTTTATTTTCAGGATCTTAGAACAGGAAACATATGTAAGCACATGCATCATGAAACGAACCCAAAGTATTTTTTGAATAAATGTCTGCTTTTTGAAAACATGATGCTGTAATTAAATGTAAATGCTAGCATATGAAGGAATTTTCTCTTGCAAGTGGGAAATGAGGTAAAAAGTCAAAAATGGAAGAGTACTCCTTTAATGAAATGCTACTTAATCCAATATATTAGAGGCAGATATATTCAACATTTTCTATTCAGTTTATTCATTAATAAGTTAGATGATGAAATAAAGAGAACACTTGCGAAATTTGAAGTGGGCATCAGACAGCAAGATGAGAGGAATAATACAAAAATCTGCTGCAATCTAAAGGTCAGCTGTAAGATTTTACACTTTAAAAGGAGTAGTCAATTGAACAAACGAGGAACAATGGCTTAGTTACCTATTCTTCAACGAGGGGTCTTTTATTTGCAACATATCCCCAGGTGAACATGATTCAGTAATGATATTCTTGTTGAGAAATGCTAATATTCTAGTTGCATGTATAAACAGATATGGCCTGCAAAGTGCAAAAAATTTATCTTTTACTTCCACCCAACACTAGTGAAGCCTAAGCATCAAGTTCTGGATACTGGAATTCAAGAAAAAATTATTAGTGTTCAGAGGATAACAGTGAACATCATCACAGGTTAGAAAATATGACCTGTGAGAGAAGGTATAAAGAACCAGATTTATTTAGGAACTATAAATTGCCTTAAGACGCATAAAACGTCATCGCAAAGAGAAAGAAGAGAATCAGCTCTCTGTTGCCATGGTGGGTAAATCAAAAAAGAAAGACGTGAGATTAAACTTCAACAGGAAAGATTCACATTAGACATGAGAAAAACTCCTGGGGGTAAAGAAGTTCTGGAATAGATTACATAGACTATTCCTAAAAGTTTTTAATAATGAATTCACAATATCCTTTGCAAGCAAAATTTGTTAGCAAGGACACAGGAATCATTGGAAATAAACTCCAAAGGTCTGTAGAGGTCCTTTTTATGATTCTGTCATCAATGTGATAGGCCAAAATTATTTCTAGAGTTCTAGGTTACAAACAGGTCTATAAGAACATGACCTTTGGAGTTTGAGGATGAATAGTAGGGGCAGATACCATGCAACTTTGCAGCATCGTGTGACAGAAAACATAGTCATTGTTGCTGCTATTGTCTCTATTTAAAGTATATCATTTACGGAAAAGTATTCATCCAGCTTGCACTGCCTAGATGCTAAATATTAACAACAGATTCCATAAATATTTTACATTGGTTTCGTTTATTTTTGGCATAGTCCATTTAGGATATTGTATTACAAGCACAGGGAATTCCCGTGGAAAGAGTTGTGAAAGTAACTGCAACATGACATGGAAAATTTGAGAAGCATCCCCGCATTTTGTGTCTGTTTCTCCCTTCCCTTCCCTTTATGTGCTACAGACCCTAGTTCAACTGTGAAAGCAAAAATTTAACACTATCTCAGCTCAAGCATCATAAAGAAAGTTATGAAAACAACCTCCATTTTCATGATTTTGTTCTGAGATGCATATGCCCATTGTGACTCAACCAGACCTGCATTGGAATACAACACCATTTTATCAAGGCTACCTAGTAATAAGGCATGTAACAGAACAGAGAGGACTTCTCAGTTTCAGGGCAGATTTGCAAGGTGGCACTTAAAGAACCTGAACATATTTTTACAACATCGCATTTCAGAATGTGACATTTTATGTGACAGCAGGACTTAGCAAAGAGTTCCTCTGGTCTTTCTGGTAACTCTCCATCTGAAGTCATAACCTTGTATATAATACTGTAGTTGAATCTGGAGGTGGTTATGTTACAACAGATTTTTATGACCTGTCTACTTACATAGGTAACGTTCATCACATGACATCTGAGACTTTAAGTAGAAAATAAATAGCAGGAATACATTATTTTTTTTTTCCAGTTAGCACCTTGAATATTTCAGAGAAAGTTTTGCTTAAGACCACAAAATAAATCCCCCAAAATGTTTTTAAAGGTTAGTGGAATATTAGCTTGCGTAAGAATTGAAGGCTTTTATTAAAAATAGACTGTGACCCTCTAAAGGACAATATTTATGCTCAACTTTAAACAAATGTTTGAATTAAGTGACTTATAATAACGCATTTGTTTAAATAGAGTGCGTTGTGCTTTCTAAATAAGGAACCTGTTCTAAACTAGTAAAGCTTCTCTTTCTACCTGATTGTGCATAATAGAAAAGTATAAAGCAAAAGAATCTGTGGATGAGAGGAGGAAAATATTATATATGAAGTATTTTTAAATTTTTTAAGGTTTTTAATAGTGCTTTAATTTCAATTTCAGAGTTTAAAAGCTGCAAGTAAGTGATAAACTACAGGAAAAGCTTTTTAGAATAAAGTCAAAGCAGTGGCAGCAGTTGGAAACATAAAAATAGCCTAGTTCTAGCGTTAGTGCTATATAGTTTAGCAGCAACACTAATGTTGTTTCTGCTTCAGAACTGCGGTATTACTAGTGATTTAGGGGTTTCTGCTCAGAATCCAAAGCCAAATATTTTTCTCCTATATTGTTCATTTTGTTGCCCTCATTTTCACGTTCACAGCTCTAAATTGAAACATTTCTTTTATTAGATTTTGTTTTGCTTTTCAGGCAACTGGGCTGTGATAATAAATTAGTTTGAATTGAAAGTATGCTTTCAATTTGACTGTGAATTATTTCAATATCCCTGGCACTGATCAGGTAGCAGTTGTTGGACTGCTGCCTGTTAGACATGTTCCAAGAATCAACCAAGCCTGACCTTCCTTAAGTGATATTTTCACACAAACAACAGGTAGCTTTGTGGTCCCAGAGTATATTATTATGTAAATACAGCTTTCTGACAGTAAATAGGTTTTTTTGCAGCATACAGACCGTTGCTTCCGCCTTGAAGATGATGGGGAGGCAGATTTCATTTTGTTTTTCCATTAAATGTACAGAGATTTCAATGTAAGCTTACATTGACATATCTGAATGGTTTTGCCCTCTTTATTTTCAGATTTCTGTTTTGATGTGGCTTCGTTTGGTTGGGTTTTTTTTGTTCAATTTCCCTGCTACACTGAACCCCTTTCTTCAAATAGTTAAGAGGAGAGCACAAGGTTCAGGTTACTAGATGATTTGGGGATTTTGCATTGACACAAGGTATCAAGAGGTATGGGTCTGGTCACCTAAACTCAATCACAAAAATCTCATCTCGTTCAGCAGTGGGCGTTTGCTTTTCCTGCAGTCATCCTGACATTGGTGCCTGTACGCCAATGTGCAGA